CAAACAAAAATAAAGCTCGGAGAGGCCTGGCATAGCTGTAGAGGTAAAACTCAGTAGCACCGCAGCACCAGACTGTTTGCCCGGAAGATCCCAGTAATACCTAGTTTACGGATTAAAACTCAATTTACCTTCACATGTTTGTGAAAGACAAAAGCGCTTAGGCGCCAACAGCAAACATTCGTTAGTAAGGCTGCCGATGACTCCCTCGAGAATGCTTAGAAGGTTATTTTCAATTTTCCGCCATATGCTAATTCCAGTTTACCATCGAAACGAACGAACGATTAGGGAGATTGGTTTTTCTGCGATATAGTCAAACCCTCAACCTTTTGCTCAATTTACAGTACACTACATATACCGGCGTTTGGTTTAATAATATTATCATATATTATGTGTTAGAATGTGTAACTTAAATGGTGTTAGTGAGTAACTTTTCAACGCTATTAATTATAATAATAATAGTAATGATGTCTGTAATAATAGACCTATACGAAACTAATAACTTCTTGAATACCTGCTGCAGCTCTGGCTTCCTCAATCTTTCTGTTCGCTTCATTTTCAGCTTCTTTCTTCGCTTGCTCAGCAGAGAGACCTCAAAAAATGAGAAGTGTCTTCTCAGGTTAAGCATATTAGTGTACCAAGTCAAGGCAACAAAGCAAAATTGAGGGGAAAATTTTCCTAACCTGCAGTTATCTTTGCCTCTTCAAGATCCTTGAAAGCCTCACCACGAGCTTCATCTCTAGCTCGCGCAATTGCTACATCTGAAAGTTGAAAGTTATTAAATTTCTTTTAACTTTAGTTAGAAGATCTAGGGGTTACTGCTGTTAAAGCATATTTTAGATCAAGTTATTGTTGCCATTTCTGTTACTATTACTATTGTCGTTCTATTACAATCACCATCACTATTATCCAACATTATTATTATTGCCATTATTATTATTACTGTAATACATGGCACACTTGCGAATTTCTTTTTTTTCTGTGTTGACAAACCTTTTAAGTAAAGCAATTCCTCTATTTTTTCACAATTTTCATAAAACTTCCCGAGCTCGCATTTTTTATAAGGGCAAACGAATTGCGAAAATATGAGTTTCCATTACAACCATTTCGTTATGCACCATTTCTGAGAAGCTCACATAAAGTTCCCAAACTTAAAGTTCATGTGTGAATTTGAGCTGCCAAGACTCGATTTTTCAGTTTAACCTTCAAAATGATTAACGAAAACTGTGAAATGTATACCAGCGTTTCTTTGGGCTTCTTCAATCATCCGGTCTGCAGCTTCTTGGGCTTCTTTTTTGGTCTTTTCGACGAGAAGATCTGAAAAACGTCGCCAGTGAGTCTGTCGTTACCCAATTTTTTTTAAAAGTAATTAAAATTTTAGATGACCTGAGGCACGGCGTGCTTCCTCAATCTGACGTGCGGCTTCATCTTGCGCCTCCTTTCGCGCCTTTTCAGCTGCTTCCGCTGAAATGAACAGTTATAGAAAAACAGCTTTTTTTTAATTGACAGATAGTGACTTTGCAAGGCTGTCTTATAACAAATAATCCGTTAGCATGGAAAATTAAAGCGTTATCGAAAGCCAAAACCTGCTCTTTTTATTCATTTTGTATGAGAGACGGAGGCATCCAGAAATAATAGCCAGATAGTAGCAAGTACCAAAGATATCTATTTGCAAGGCCGACCGATGACTATCTCTTTCGCAGGTTGCTCAGAAACAATCTCACGGCAAGTCCGACCCACTGACGAATGGCATCACCAGTTCACCATCGAAATGCATTAATGAGTCGCAAAAGGAGGAATCAAGCTCTCTACGCTTAGTACGAGAGCAGCGCTATTTATTACACAAGATGCATGCGTTTTGACGAACAAAATACTTGAGATACCAGAGCGGTTTTCAGATTTCAAGGTGGAATTTTTCAAAGATCACCTATTATCCCGAAATTACATAAATGTATGCCAGAACGTTCTGGAAGGAGAAAAAACCTGCAGTTCGTCGAGCATCAGCGATTTGTGCAGCAACGATTGCAAATGCGTTGGCACTAGCTTGCTCAATTGCTTTGTCTGAAATTGCAAACTTCGCGAGATCTAAATGCTCAAAATCAAATGCATGTGACTCACACTTTTTGACAAGAGGAAATGCTCTAAAGTAGTCCGATCGGAAGCACTTTCCAAGAGCAATCGCCCGCTGGTAGGGTTGTCATGATTTCCTTATTTGAATGTTGCTTAGAAACAAGCTAATAACAATTTCCACTCCCAAGCATGCATGGCAGAAAATCTGCCAAAGCTGGCCAAAAAGTCACCACAGAGGAAAAGAAAAATAAAAAAAGTGTCGTTTGCCTTGAAAGGCAGATACAGAGTAGATGTGCTGCCAGGCTAAACCTGAGAGCAAAAGGAGCAGAGTTGCAGTGGTAACATATTGTTTTCGAACTGAAAAGAAGTGGTTCGATTCCTTCTCGGTCCAGAACAATTTTCGAGAAAGGACTCCGTTCACGACAGTATAGGCCAGTACCAACCTGCCATCAA